GCCCCAAATTCAGCAGAAGCCCCTTCCCATCTACAAAAGCCATAGCCTTCACTTTATAGCAACCTGGAGCTTGTTTACGCATTCATGTCTCCTTTGCCCTTATTGTTGTTCCTTGCATTTTAAAAGAAGCTAGGGGTGAATACAGGTTCAACAGCTGGCAAAGAGCTGAGAAATGTTCTAATGTTTTGATCAGATTAGTATTTTGATGAATTCAAATTTGATCAATTACTGCTCTTCTGTGAGGTTTATTGTCTCAATCCAGGAGCCAAAACCTAGAATTTCATATAATTGCCTATTTAATGGAGTACAAGCGTAGCTGTTATGCTTCAGCTTTTCTAGCAGCCGGTTAACTGGCTGTTCTCCAGCTATTTGGAAAGAGGTTGGCAAATAAATGCAATATGAGTGTTTGCAGACTAGTTACCTGAACTGTCAGGTCAGGGTCTGCAAAACTTTTCTGAATCTTTAGATCAGCACACTATTATAGAAAATAAATGGCATATTGAATGTCAATATGCAGTTTTCACAAACAGCATGTTTAGGAGGGTGCTTGGTAGAATTAAAATATAGACACTAAACATGTGCCAAGCAGTTAAAAGAAATTATTAGTGGAGAAGTTAATCACATTGTGTAGGCGATAATAAATTGAATATGTATGTTTCTAAATGTTGTTATCTAAATAACAGAAAAATTGAATCCGTTTCCTGGCATACACTCAGAGTAGAAAGAGTTCTTTCCTCTTTACAGTTGTCTGTCCAGCCTGAGATGCTGTGGTTCAGTGCATAAATCACCACTGAACCTGGCTCATTGCTGTCTCCACGTGGCTGCCACATCCTCCAGAGGTGGCATGCTGCTTTTGCATATAGACCCTTGACTTGCACATCTAGCACAAAGAACAAAATAAAATGCCATTTATGAGTCCTTTGTGCCAGCCAGTAGAAAGCAGTGTATATGCTGGAAAGTGGTATATGCTAGTAAGCTCTTTGTGCATCTGTTTGATTTGAAGCTGTTCTTGGTTTGATTGCGGGTGGATTGGTTTTGCTTCTACCTGAAACTAAAGGAAGAGTTTTGCCTGAGACTGTTGAAGATGTTGAAAACTTCCATGGGTGAGTCAGAAGGATGAACTCTTAGCAGCTTTCACTTGAAATTGTGCAAAATCCTGCCCACAGCTCCTTGAGGAAGCCCAGGGGTTACTTGGCTGCCTCCAATGCTTCCAAGAAGTTGCTAGTTCATTGCCAGACTCCAGCTGGAGAGATTTTCTTTTTACCACTTGTCTACCTAGGCATCTAAAAACAGGCAGCATAGGCCTTTACTGGCCTATGAATAGCTGCACTAGTCTCTCAAACCTGCTGCAACGCTATTATAAATGTTATTTGTGCTTAAAAAAAACTAACTGATCTTGTGGAACAGAAAAAGGGCGTTCTTGATAGCAGCTACTCATGCAGTGAGTGAAGCACCAGTATCTACTGAGGAGCCAGAGCAAATCTAGAGGATTTGAGGATCAGGTGTTCATTTTCTCTGGGGAAGAGGCAGGGAAAATGAAGAACTTGAAGTTAGGTGCTCACTGAATACCTTCATTCCTGGTTTGCTACTCATGTCTTGTTATTCTTGCAGACAAAGTGCTCCAAAGGCCAAAAAGATCTATCTCCATGTCCAAACGTCAGAAGTGGCACATGACTGAAGAAGGCATAACTCTTTCTGGGTAGCCTGCTTTGAGGCACTAGCATGGAAAAGCAATTTGGAATAAATACTCTCTCCTGATTTGCCTCTATTTTTTGTCTGCCTATCCTTTATTTACAATGTTTCGGGGCTTCTGATGGGATTGTGCCTCCTATTACTGCATAGCTGTTTCCCTCTCGGTACGTATTTTCACTGTGTAACCACTACATTTTCTTGTCTTAATATCATCTTGACAGTAGGTAATCTGTACTTTTTTTTGGTACAAAACTGTTTTCCTAAGCCTCTATAAACGTGTGCATGCACAGACATGCACAATTTTATCAAAAATACTATGTTGAGACTCCAGTCAGAGTGGGAAAAGCATTACAGCTGCCAGGGGACTGAGCCCACCACCGTCCTGCTCCACTGGAGGCTTAGGACGGGGCTGGGGCCAGGACAGAGCTGGGCTTTGGAGCGAGCTGGGCTCAGGCTCAGGGACCAGCAGGACCCTGAGCTGGGATTTGGCCAGGGGTCCTCTGCCTCAGGGGGCAATGCTGGGTCTGCAAGGAAATAGCCTGCACCTTTCACATTTTTCCTAGTCCTTCCCACTTAGCAACTGTGGCAGTTTTGTGCTTTCAGAGGAAAACAGGCACAGCAGTACTGTGGCTCCTCTTCGCTGCTTCTGTCTTGTTGGTCCCTAGCGCTCTTGGGGAATGCTGGCTTTCAAGAAGGATGCTGTATGTGGGGCACAAGATACTGCTGCCATTTAACGACCATCTGCAGGAAGAGAGCTTCCAGCTGAGCAAAGCATTGCTGGCCTCTGGCAGGCGGTGTGCTATTCCCCCAGGATTGCTTCCTGCGGTGGTGGTATGGTGATCTTGCCCTTGTTTCTGACTGGCCTGAGCCCCAGTTAATGGTCAGTGTTGCTGTGAAGGGTCTCAAAGGCAGGGAAGCATGTTGTCCAGCGAAACAGGGCCATGACCAGGTTGCTCTGAGAATGTAAAAACAGATCTGGAGTGACATGACTTTGGCCCAGGCAGTTGCAAAACTAATGTTTGCTTCAGGGTCAGAGAGGAACAGTCTGGTCCTGAGATAGACAAAAGGGACAGTGAGGATGTAATTATGTGTCCTGTGGAGCTGGTGTCCTGCTGTGATGGCAGAGATGTCTGTGCTCTGCAACAAAAGAAATCTGGCAGAACAGCTGTCTTTATTAGAGTTCATTGATTTGAAACCTGTTGAAAACACTGTGCAGAAAGAAATGGGGGGAGGAGGCAAGAAATCAAGCAAAGCAAATACAAGTAACTACGCAAGCTGACTTTCTAGACCCTTACCCATACACTGGCATCTTTTTCCATAAGCACCGCTACTGCCACAGCAGGAGGTGCAGGGGTGGCAGGCTCTGGAGTGCCTTCACTTCACAAACACCTACAAGTCATATCAGCATTTCCTTCTGGTGGCACCTTAATGAGCAAATCTGCTTCACTGATTTCCTTGCTGGTGACCTTGTCAATTCATGTGTTGCCTCCTGGAGTTGGGAAGTCAGTGAAACATGTCAAATCTGCTCCAGCTGCACATGGTTGCTCTCTAAGTGCAGAGAGCCTTTGTGTCCTGGGTGTGTGGTAGGAGTGGATCTTCTCCAGGATATGAGACAAGCTGCCTAACATCCTGCTTTAGATAAAACAACATTTTGCCAGCTTCCCTTCCCATTAACAGGAGCTGAAGCTTGTCTGTTCCTGGGGCTGCTGGAGTATAACCAGCTTGGTGGCAGGACTGTCTCTGGAGCTTGGGAAGAAGCATTTCAGGGCCCAACCATTGGCTGCCTCAGGCAACCCAGGGAGCACCTGGACATGTCTGTGTCCAGATTAATGAAAGTGAGACTGGTCTTTTAAGAAGACTTTGTCCCTTACCCAGCTACTTAAAACCACAGTATAGGGACTGTGCCTAAAGAGAACATAAAAACTCCATGTTTCTGGGTGCCTACCAACCTTCAGTAACTGAGGTTTGGAAAGAATTACTCTTTACTTCTACAAAGCTTCCGGTGTTCTCCCTGGCATTATCTGGTGGGCAGCCTGGCTGCAGATGTGGGCCAGGGCAGCGCTTCCTAAGCACATTCTTGTCCTCTGCCGTTGCTGTCAGCACTGACATCCAAACACTACCGTGTCAGCATAGCTGCCATTTGGAGACGCCAGTGCTAATTTTATCCCACCAAACATGGCCCCAGACTCTGTGGTGTATCAGAGACTCATTAAGGCTTATTGTCTGCAAGCTGTAATCTTAACATGGTTGTTTTGTCAAGGTGTTCTTGTGTGCATGTGTTCCTGAATTGGCAGAAAATCCCATCTTACAGGTCAGTGCAAAGCTCATGTGGTTTCCATCTCCCCTATTTATTGTGTCATCAAAAAAATGCATGTGCTAAATTTTATTTGCAGTTTGTTCCAATCTAATCCCTACTGTATGGCACTGTGTCATCCTACGTTCTGTAAATGTTTTGAAATATGGAGAAATTGGGCCTTTTCCCAGAACTGGGGTTGGTAAGGAGACACCCCCAAATCCAGAGAATATACACAAGTTGATGAACATGATGTGAATCACATTTTAAGTGCTTCCAAAGACTTGTGGAGAGGACCCTTCAATCTTCAAAAGCACTAGAGCAGTGTTTTTTCCAGCATGTTATTGAGGGAGATCTGCTTAGACAGCCGTATCCTTTTTTCGGTTCATCTTTCCCCCCCACCCCCCACCTCAGTCCTTATCCCTTACAGCTGTTTTGGAGTTTGGCCATGCAAAAACCAAACTCACGGCATTAGGAAAACAAACATGCTGTCCTGATTTTTGGCTAGGAGAGAGTTAACTTTCACAAAAAGCTGGGAGGGTACGCAGCCAGGACAGCTGACCCAAACTAGCCAAAGGGATATTCCATACCATGATGTCATGCTCTGGATATAAGGGGGCAGCTGGCCGGGGAGAAGGGGGTCACTGCTCAGGGACGGGCTGAGCATCGGGTTCCGGGCAGTGAGAAAATTGCATTGTGAATCACCCACTTTGTATATTCTTTTATAAGCATTGCTGCAGTTGTTTTCCTCTCCCTTTGCTGTCCTAGTAAACTGTCCTTATCCCAACCCATGAGTTTTACCTTTCTTCTGATTCTTCTCTCCATTCCACCGTGGGAAGGTGGGATGAGTGAGTGAGCAGCTGTGTGGTGCTAAGCTGCTGTCTGGGGCTAAACCGTGACATGTGTAAATACAAACATGAATATACTTTAATATGCACCGTGTCCTGTTATTGTTCATGCCTCTCCCAGTGGGTGTCTGTGATGAGGTTTTCTCCCTCTGCCTCATCACTGATCCCTAATGATGATGTAGTTGCATGCAGTCCCCCATGTCATGAGGCTTCACTGCCTCTAACTCCTCTTTGCCTTCCTTTTCATTTTCCAGCTTGCCTAATATCCAGTCAAATTCTGGGACGTCGAAGCTTAAAAGCCAGCCTGGGCTTAGAAGTACTTACTTTTTGTACTTATTTCTCTGGAAGAAGAGTAAACTGGGAGGGAAGAGGGGCTTCTGGATGTCCTGGACTCCCGAAGCGGGCTCTGCAGTGGCAGCGCTTGCTGCTGGGCAGCCAGAGCTGTCTCACAAAGCTGACCTGCTGGGCATCAGGACTGACTGGTGTCAGTCAGATTTAAAGGGGTGTAGGGGGAAATGTGACAGTAAATCAGTTACTGTGTACACATGCTTGCTTTCAGGCAGAATCAGGTGTAGCTTGGAGGAGGTGAGTTGGGGTCACGAATGCACTCCTCCTCACTACAGAAATGAACTGCGAGTGAGCAGCACAAAGAGATTTTTAGTTCTATAACAAGCAGAAGAGTGTTCGTTCATGAATTTCCCACTCACACCACACAAGTTGCTGCTGCCAGATGCCCTGGAATTCCAGAAGCATGAATGTGTTCAAAAGGCAAATAGAAAAATTTGTGGAAGGACGGTCCATGAGGGACTCAAGCAGAAATGCGGGCAGATGACCTCTGGCTCAGGAAGTCCCCAAGCCACAGACTGCTGGCAGCTGGGAAGGTGCAATGCAGAAAAGATCGCCATGTTGGCCTGGCTCGTCCCCTGCATGTGGTGTCAAGGGCGCTCTTCTTCCAAGTAACAAGCGATAGGACAAGAGGAAATGGCTTCAAGTTGCACCAGGGGAGGTTTAGATTAGGAAAAATTTCTTCACTGAAAGGGTTGTCAAGCATTGGATCAGGCTGCCCAGGGAAGTGGTTGAGTCACCATCCCTGGAGGTATTTAAAAGAGGTGGAGATGTGGCACTTAGGGACATGGTTTAGTGGTGAACTTGGCAGTGCTAGGTTAATGGTTGAACTCGATGATCTTAAAGCTCTTTTCCAACCAAAATGATTCTATGATTCTTACTTGGAGGCAGCTTCAGAAGTCAGAACGTGGAGATAAATAGTTTTTTCTTTGCTTCTTTCTTGCCTGCAGAAGGAAAGGGGAAAAGGCAGGTGATGCTCCTGGTGGCTTAAAGCATGATCCCCAAATAATCCATATGCTTATATTGATTGAAAATTGGGTTTAACAGATGTCTTATGAGAGGCAATTTTTTAAATGAGCTTAGATTATTTTGAAGAGCAGCAGAATAAGGAGTAAATTGGAGACTTTCTGTGGCCTCGTGGCAGCTGTGCTGCTGTCTGGAAATCCTATCATAACACTAGCAATAGCAACTTTAACTCTGGTATTTTCTACTGTAAAAGCTGTTATTCTAGGTGGTTTCTAAAGTAACATCTGGGTGTGTGGTTGCATGTATGGACTTCCTAACATTTCCTAGATGCAACCTTTCCCTGCTTTACCCTGTGCTACATTGCCATCCCTTTCTGGCCAGGCTAGGTCCTTTTCCTCCCACACCCAATTTTTTACCAGAACAAGTGTCTTTTTGGCTCTGCATCAGCTTCAGTGAATCTGAGCAACTCCTCCAGTGCCTGTGGAACTCTACCTTCACCCTGGGAGCTGCTCCAGCAGGTGCGAGTCGTGCCAGAAGGAGAAAGCACTGAAACCCTGCATTGCTCCCCAAATTTAAAAGCGCACCACCACCAGCTTTGTCCCCTTTGCGTATGAGCAACTCTAGGGGCATCAGTGGTCCCTTTACTGGCACAGCTGCACACAGGAGGTGAGACCGGGATGGTGAGCACACCTGGGCACACACAGGCTGCAGCTGGCAGCTACAGATGCTTAGGTGGGACTGCTAAGTTTTCAGGAGGGTAGTGTGACCAAGGGTTGTGTTCCCTGGCTTTATTTTGCACAGGTACAAAAGCCAGCTCAAGTAGTGTTTCCATGCCATCAACCTGCTCACCTTTCCCTGAGGAGCGGTGCCTTCACCCCTCTGCCTCACCTTCCCTGGGCAGGTAGGATGGCTGAATGAGCTGCTGAAAGCTCCCACCACTGTGCCGTGGTGGTCTCCTGCCTGAAAGCCACCTTCAGCTGCCGGCAGTGGCTGACAGTGGCAGGGAGGACATGTTTCCCCATGCTGACAGATGCCTCTCAAGGCAGAGCGGCTGTATGCGCTGCCTGAGGAGCGACTGAAGCCCAGATTGATGCTTTTCAGATGGCCGGTGAAACCACCCTCCACGCCTTCTCTTACTGTCTGGCTCCTGTGTAAGGTGTTAGGGGATTCTGGCCAGATCATACAGGAGAGCCCAGGACCCGATGTTGCTACTAGGGATCAGGTACCCACAAGCCATCCACTGTATTTACACATCTACAACCCAACCCAACCGATCCTTGGAGATGTACAAGAAATGTTTTTTTTAGCAGATTTTGCAAATGTAAAGGAAAGTTGCTCTGCTCTTAATGCCATACCTGTGCAGATTTTCAGCATCTTCAATGGTCTCAGGCAGATTCTTTCCCTTCATCTCAGGTAGGAGCAAAACCAAGCCACCGTCGATTAAAACGATCACAGCTGCAAACACAGAACAAGGATCACGAAGGCAATGCAATCGTCATGCCCGAGTTTAATTCCAAGTCACTAATTAATTCTCACTGAGACACAGCTGCCCTGACAATTGAATAAGGTCTCCTCGAAGTGATAATAATGTTTGGCTTTTTATCTACATGATTCTCATTTTTCAGAGTAATTGCTGACGTTTCTGAGGTGCATCTGAGGCCTGGAAAGCCATCCTGGGTCACAGACCCAGGGATGGTCTGGCTCCCTTGCTTTGTGCACACAATGCAAAGGAAACAGATTTTTGGCTCTGGTTGTCCAGCTGGCATGGGATTGGGGTGACACTAGCTGTCATCCCCACTTTTGACTAGATTAGGACACGCACAAAAGGTTGCTACCAGCTCACCTGGTCAATTTCACCTTCTGATTAGTTTTAGACCCTGCTGTGACCAGGGCAGACGGTGCATGCAGGCACACCTATTTGAATACACGCAGTAGCAGACATTCTAGGCAGCCCTTTTTTTAGGGTAGTAGCCATAACATTAGGGCTGACATGCTGCTTTGCCATCCTAAATTGCCATGGGATCCTTGACAGACTGAGGTGCCAGCAAGAGGTGAAGTGTGACTTTTGTGCAGGGAGGGAAGAGGCCATCCCGCTCGGACCTCATGCCCTGTAACCACGCTGTGGGTGGGAGGGGCAGAACCCAAAGACATTCTTCCCTTGGGAAGGGCTCAACACTTGGAAGAGCTGTCCCAAAAATATGGGGTCCCCTTTATTGCAGAAGGGGCGATTTTGCTACAACTTCCAACCACACAGATGAAACAGACTTACTAAGCTGCATCTTACATGTGTACACATGTGTACATACATCTGTCCACATTTTTTTTTTTTTAAGGCAGGAAATAGATCACCAAACTTATTCATCTAGGCTGTGGCCAACCGACCCGTCTCGCAGCTCTCTTACCAAAGATGACCAGGGGCAGTTCGTGCCAGACCTCTGCCAGTCTGTACACGAGGAAGGGCGTTATAATCCCACCAAGGTCGCACATGGACGAGCAGACGAGGACTCCCAGGTTCCTGCAAAGCACGTGCACACACACAACGTGTGCACACATACACACACACATGTCACCGGCTCTGCCTGAGTGTGCAGCACCCTGGCAGGACCCACAAGAATTCGCCCAGCCCTGCTGTGGGGATGAGCGGGTCCGCACCCTGCCTGGGGGATTTGCAGCTGATGGGAGGAGGGATGGCCCATGAGCCGCAGAGAGGAAAAGACAGGTAACAACCTGGGGCTTAGGAAGGGGCTTAGAAAGGCCTGGCCCCTATTCTGGTGAACGTAATCAAAAAAGAGCAGAGACAGAATTCTCCCTTGGAGAAAAACCACAAGATGAAATGGGTGAGGAAGGAGAGACACAAGGCAAGACATTAAGACTAACTCTGTATTGGAGGAGGGAGGTTAATGAGCATTTAACTTCTCCTGGTTCACTGAACTGCACTGGAAGGGGAGCCTGAGGGTGTCTGGGAAGGTTTCTTACGCATCCCCTCAGAAACCCCAGTGCTGGGCTCAGAAGAGGGGAAGGGGCTTTGGCCAGGGAAAGCGGTGGATTTCTACTGCACCACCTAGCAGCTCTCCTCCACAATGTATAAAAGTGTGCTTTATACATGCAAACGCCTCTTCCAGGGCAGTGCATGAGCCACGGGCTCCCCCAGCTGCATCCACAGCCCTGGGTTGGCCTCTCCCAGAGAAACACCCAGTGCTTTTACCAGCTAACAAAAGATTTCTCACTTACCTGAGAAATGTTGGATACAGCTCAGGATTTACCACACAAATAATTTCATAGCACATGGTAATTCCCATCCTGCCCAAGCAAGCTCCAGTCATTTTAAGCCAATAAAGAGCTGGAAAGACATTGTGCACCTTAAGGTTGTAATACAAAACTACCTTGTTTTCTGCTCTTGACTTAAAATAGCATTAAAGGTTTAATTTAAGGAAACAGTAAGTTTGCCATCATGAAAGGTCAAGAGGACAGCACATGATGGTGTTCCGTTTCACTCAATAGAGAATTTATAATGCAATTGTCCTGTGATTTAAGCAAATAACCAAGAGACGAGACTTTGCTAGGTTGCTGTCAGAGAGGAGAAATCAATGATACAAAGTAGCTTGGGTTTATCCTGTGCATTAACCAAAAGCTTATGTAAGACATCATTTCTTGCTTGCAATAAAACTAAACAGAGGGCAGCTGCAGTGTTTGGTAGTTGAAACCTACTTATCAGCAAAATGCTCCTTACTTTTGCACAGAGGCTTCTGACAGCTTTCAGGCTGGAACAAGTTTGTGTTGCCTCCCTGTCTCTCAGTGTGTGCTCTACAATTGCTTTCACACCTGGAGCTACAGATGTCTGTTGCAAATAAATGAATATCACAGCCCTGTGCATAGGGTCAGCCCAGGACACCTCTGTGTGCCATGTGGGCTTTTAGATCCCCAACTGACCTTGGATTGTGAGGTCAGATGTTTCAGCTATTAGCGCACTCGGAGCGTTGAGTTTCTCCCTCACTTAGCCATCTGGGGGACTCATCAAGCCCTGGGCGTTATTTTACTGACCCACAGCTGCCGGTAAGCCCTGCCAGCAGAACCTCTCTGGAGCCGAGACACCAGCCACTGCTGCGTGTGGGTTGCAGCAATCGCAGCTGTGGGAGTCCAGGGCCGTCCCGGCCTCCCCACTGGGGCTCTGTCTGCCCCACCGCCCCTGCAGAGTCAGCCTGGGTGAAAAATAACCCTTTTCTGGAGGGCTGGACTTTGGGCTATGGGCTTTGAAGGTGGCTCAGCTCGGGGCTGGCAGTGCTGACGCAGGCAAGGGGGGAAGGCTGGGGTCTCTGCTAGTGGGTGCCACCGGCAAGCCCGGCAGGGCATTAAACCATGGACTGAGCCGAATTGGCAGCAATGTCTTCACCGGCCATACCTGTCTCCTGTGCAAGGTGCTCACCCGGGCACTGCTGCTCCCCATGCCCTGGCACAGGCAACAGCTGCGGGGCCGCAGGACTCCCACCCCTGCGCTCCCCCAGCAAAGCCCAGCGGCCCCTTGCATAGCCCTTGCACTCCTCAGTCGTCTGTTAAAATGCGTTTCCATTGTTTGGACACTTTGAGGGTTTTGCCCATTTTTCCATAACATTTTGTGGTTTTGTACTTGTTCCTCCATGAACTCATAGTTGTTTGGCACTGTTATGCCTGTGGTTTCAGTCTAGTTGTATTCCATAAAGAGAAAGGAAAGATGTGTCATTCCGTGGCCCTTAAGGGACACGTTGCTTTGAGACTATGGCCTTGGAGTGAACACCTAGCTAAACAAAGCCAAGTGCCTGTCATGATGGTTGCTCAACATCCTACATTCATGGCAGCAGCACTGATGATGGCAGAAAGCATTTATGGTACCCAGATGGTGTTTTAAGTGTGTGCATGTGCTCATACATTTTCCTTTTAGAAACAGAAAACATGGAGATTTTTGGATGAAAACCCTGAATTGTGCATTCAAATCCAAATTTTAGGCCAGAGAAAAATTGTGGACTTAACATGGGGTGCTTCATGATCAAGCACCTGCAGACTTGCCGAGAGAAGTGGTAGATGCCCCATCCCTGGAAACAAGGCCAGGTTGGATGGGGCTTTGGGAGGTTGTCCCTGCCCATGGCAGGGAGGTGGGAACTAGATGGCCTTTGAGGTCATTTCCAACCCAACCGTTCTATGATTCTATGATTCTATGTTTTGATGCCATTTTTGAAATTTAATTCACCCCATTTCTCCAGCCTCTCATTAGCTGGTATAAATGCTGATGGTGGGACATATATTAGCTTTTATGGTATTGGTCTTCATTGGATCACAATACTGACATGGGCCAGGTTAACAGGGATTGTTTTCCATTTTTCCAGGGCAATAACCAACAGACAGGGAGAGAATTCATTGATGGAGGAGGTTTGCGTGACTCACTGTCTGGGACTAATGCTGCAACGAGGCAAGCACCACCTGCCATCACGTTTGCCGCAGCCCAGGGGTAGCGACGACCAATGCGATCCAGTGTTAGCATGAGGATGAAGGCGGCTGGAAACTCAACAAGCGCAGAATAGAGGAAATCCAGGTACATGTTCCCAGCGGCTATTCCCATGTGCATGATGAGCCCCTGGTAGAGGATGGAGCTTGTGAACCTGGGCAGAGAACAGGGTGCAAATGAAGACAAACGTTTTGGGAGAGAGCTTATGCAAAGAACTGAGATTTACAGCTGGTTGGGAGCAAAACAGGCTTAAATCAATGATGACAATTTAGGGCACTGAATCACACACCTCTCTCTGGGCTGCAAAAGCCTTCCCTTACCAACTGTACATCAAAATGCACGTGTGTTTTCTGATCTGAGGTGTCCTGACCAGGTCTAGAAATGAAGGTTTCCGCTTTTCTCCATCTTCATCTTCGGAGTTGAGATTCTGGGAGCACAAGCAACAGAACAAGAGATTACAGTGGACAGGAGACAGGGTGGTGACCACTGCAATTAATATTTTCCTCTGGATTAATGGGAGGATAATGGTTTTCATTTGCCAGTTAAGTTACTGAGGGCAAAATAACTTGTGCAGAGTGTTTTGGGGAAAGGAAACACAAATATTTATATATACAATCTTCATAATTATGTAGCCCTGTGTATGAGGCTGTTGCATGGCATGAAGCAGCATTTAAAAAAAATAATGAATAAGGATGTTCTGGAATTTTAAGTCATGAGATTTGGAGCCATGGAGTTGTTTAATGTTGATTGATGCTACTTAACAAAGAATTTTTCTTGTCTACTGTCTATTTTTGCAAGCCTCTTTTCCCACATATGCTCTGCAAGGGTCCTAGGCAGTCAAAGACAAGAAAACTCACTTGCCTTTGCTTTAGGGAACAGTGTTGCTTTTGGTTGCCAAGCTGCTCCCTACTCTAGCCCCAAAACAATCCTAAACTCATAACATTATTTGCCTTGAGGTTCGCATATCTGCAGCAAATGCAGTGCAGTCACCTGGAAAGAGAGAGGTAGCTTCTTCTTATTTCCCTTGGCGATGCGCTTAATAACTTCCATAGCTTTGTCATTTTGCTTTTGAGATATGAGCCACCTGGGAGACTCAGGCAGACACCTGCAACACACATAAGCATGACAGCTACGTGGAAGGAAAATGCACATTACTGGTACACAGAAAATGAAAATGGATCTGAGTTTCTCAGGCTGGGATCCTATGGTGTATTGCATATCCAAGGGTGGTGGTGAACTCAGTGGTAGCTGTGTCTGTCCATGACTGCATTCTGATTTGTGCTCCGCTTGAATGACAACATAACGCGATTTTTTATTTTTTTATTTTGTAAGGGTAAAACCAGTGTATTACAGTTTGGAAACATTAGTCTAAGATAAATTCTGTTGACCTGTTTTAGAAATGGCTAATAGTCTGTGGATATAAAAAAAACCCAGCTGTAAACCCAATCCTTCAGCTTCTCCATGTTAAAAATAAACTCTCTCTCCCCCC